AGAAAACCCCTAACACTATGAAATTTGATCACATTGCACCATGTCTGTGATTAAATGACGAAAGTACCCTTCTGATATACTAAATCAATTAAAAAAGTCAAAATAGGTATTTTGCCAATTACAAAAATACCCTTGGTGACATTTAAGTCACCAAAGCACAAAACGCGGTTGTTTTGTGTGTATATAATATGTATATATATTATTCACCTCCCTTCTCTTCCATCTCACCTTCGCCCTTCTCTTCCGTCTCACCTTCGACTAGAAAACAACAGTTAACAAACAAATTTAGTAAGAGCACATGGAATCAGAGCTCCGGCTGACGAAGGTGTGACATGCCAGTTCGGCATCATCATCGAGCTCCACCTCCTTGGCATGGGGCTTTCCGGCCAAATCCCACCACACACAATCGAAAATCTGACCCACCTCCACACACTCAGCCTCCGCTTCAACGGCCTCTCCGCCCACTCCCAAATGACCTCACTTCCATTTCTGGCCTAACAGCGAAACCTCCTCTCTCTTTGAGGATGTTAAGGACCGTTTCGAAGGAGCCAAACGAGCAATTAATTCTGATGCCGATCGACGATTAATTGAGAATTGCTTATCTAAAATTGAGAATTTTGACCAAGTCATGAACTGTGATTGGTCTTTGCGCCTGAAAATCGATTCTACTTCGTGCTTTGGGCACTGCAACAACGATGACGGCTCTGAAATTTTGTGATACAAGCCTTCAATTGAAAACCAAATAGGGAAGAGCTAGGTTTTAAGAAGCTTGGTTGGGTAGGTTTTAAGACCGAATGATGCTCTGAAATTTTGTGATTCCATGTCTATAATCAGATCCAATTGATTGCAGGTATGGGCTTAAGAATGGCAACCCTAAAGTTTGTGTTGCTAAGAATAAATCATGAGTTTTTGAAACATTTTTTTATTTGGATTTACACAATTGAATTTTCAAGATTGCATTTTTAATGGGGATGAATGATCATCTGATTTGGTCCTGAATAAATCATTTCTTAAGCTGTATTTGGTTGTTTGTTGCGACGAATACATAAAATTTAAAGGGCAGTGAAATGAAAATCAAAGGCCATTTCAGGGGTAACCTAAGAAGTTGAGAAAAAAGGGCTGCTGATCTAAAATGATTCACACCATGCCAACACTCTTGTGTGGTTCATGACGGGAATTTGTATTTGCAGTTACCTCAAAGTTTGAATCTGGACTAATCAAACACTTTTCCAGCTAGGGCTTTTGTCTTCTGGTGACCAAATTATGAACCTTAAGTTGGTGTGGGTTGGGAATAGTGGTGGCAATTACGAAGATGGGGATGGTGGTGCTGCAGCGGTTGCCCTACTGTAATCGTCGGATGTAATGGAGATGAAAAAAAGAAAAAAAAATATATAAAATGTGTTAGTTTGAATATATATATACACGCAAATTTCACTAAGACTATTTATGTAATTTGTAAAAAAATGATTTTTGCTTTTTTAAATAAATTGGTATATCAGAAGGGTAGTTTTGTCCTTTTATCATAGAATTGGTGCAATGTGATCATATTTCATAGTGTTGGGTGTTTTTTAAAGTAGGTTGGGGGTATTTGATAAAAAAGTGATAGTATTGGGGGTTTCGTGAAATTTACTCTATATTAATATATAATTAAGGTAACGAATCGGATCAGATCGGTTTTTTCAGGGCCTAATCCATTAACCGAACTGTGAATAGCGGATTGCTATTTTTCTAAACCATCATCGAACCATGAGATCTGAAAACTGAACCGAACCACACGGATCGGATTGGTTCGAACTGGATTGACAGATTGACGAATTATTTGCTCACCCCTAAATTATATATATTTATATATTCTAAAAATGGATATAAAATATTGGGTATAAAGAGAATTTATCTAACACAAATTAATTAATTAATTAATTTTTTGTATTTAAAAACATAAAGGTAGTTTTGGTAAGTAGAATTATTATTTTTTTCTTTTTTACACTATCCAAGCTAACAAAATAAAATTTTTTCATAATTTTTTTAATAAAATTTCCTACTAACCAAATAATTACTGAAAATTTGATTTTTCCATTTTCTTTCACTTTCATTTTCCGTTATAAATTTCCTTGGATTTACTTGACATGGAATTTGATGAAACTGACTAACATTAGGATTTGGACAGTGTGACGACCTTGCCAAGACTAGGGTTTTGGACAGGTCCAAATCCTAGACTCACGCCTGAGCTGGTTTGGATTAAAAATGGATTGTTTCCAAATTGGATTGAATTGGGTTGGTCCAGTAGGTAATGTAGGCTAGTTAGATTGGGTTAAAACTAATTACAAACTGGGCTGAAATATTAGGCTAGCTTGTTGAACCAAGCTCGAGAAATATGGACCATTGGGTTAATTGCATATCAGAGGGTATTACCGACTTTGAGTGTAAAAAATAAAAAATACCCTTATATTATAATAATGAATAAAATTCAAAACAATTCCCTTAAACTATTGTATTTTTACAAATAACCTCCCTAAACTATTAATTTGTCTAATTAAAGACAAACCAATCACAAATAATTATTTTACCCTTTCTCCTTTTTAGTTTGTCATTTTTTATTAAATTATTATTATTATTTTTTCTTATTTAAATATTAATTATACCATTTACCTTAATTTTATTACTAATATCAATTTATCATAAAATGAAAAAAATAAATAGATTTATAACTACCATTTTTTAAATAATTAACTCATCATTAAAACTTTATTATTTATAATAAAACTTATTATACTCAGTTTAAACTTTTATAGCCTAAAAAAAATACTTTCTCTTTTCAGATAATATATTTATGAAAAATTAATAAATAGCTTAATTTTTTTTTTTCGTGCAATGTATTCATGAAAAATTAAGAAATTAATTAAATTTATTTTAAAATTTTCTACTTAACATTTTTATTAAACAATTAATTTAAAAAATTAAAGTTAAATTTAAATATGCAAATTTAATAGAGATTATGTTATCAAATTAGTATGTATTTTTTTCATAATTTATTTGAAAAAGAAAAATAGATTAAGTGCCATTCAATAAGAAATGACATTATGGCCATTTAATGAAAAATAGTCCAGGCATTGGGGTATTTTGTAACAAAATGTGATAGTTCGGGGATATTATGCATAAAATAAATGAGTAATTCAAAGGACTTACTTGCAAATTTGAACATTGTTCATGGTTTTATTTTTTTGCACTTTACCCTGTAATAATATAGGGCTAAGTGCAAAAACCCCCCTAATATGTAGGGTTTGTGTAGAAATAGTCTCTACATTTTTAAAATGTTCATTTTAGTCCATAAAATTTTTAAAAGGTGCAAATAAGCCCCTTTGACCACTTTTTTTCGGTCAAAATTAACCTAAAATAAATTCAAAAATCATATTTTGCCCTTTTCTTTTTCTATTTTACCCTTCTCTCCTACGCTTCACCACCACCACCATCCTCACCACCACTACCACTATGTTTATTCTGGCCATTCAATTAAACCCCATAACCAAAGTTCAGCGCCAATCTGTTGAGTTAATTTAGTGTGTCATCAAATAAAGCCACATCACAAACCCAGTTGTTGGTGGTTGTTGGTGACGGTGATGGATGGCGAGCTTAGGATGTCGTTAATGTGTCATCCGTGACGGCAACTGATGAGAAGGGTCTGTATTTGTTGGTGTTTGTCGTCCAGTAAGGATGAAAGCTTGTCGTCGGAGTTTAGTTGACGGTGAAAGGTTGAGGTCTCATTCTATGACGATGAAATGACGTACGGTGAACCTCATGAGGTAGCCCTGGACGGGAGTGGTTCCACCGCCTCTGAGGAAGAGGTCGGTGGGGTTGGCCAAGTACAGTCTAGCGGCGACGAGGGCCTTTGCGATGGCTATGAGGTTCAACCACTACTTTACTCTCTCCCTTCATTCCACCACCATGTTCACCTCTGCCCTTTCTCTCCCTCCAACACTTCTACGGCCACCACAGCTTTTACAATCGCCACCACCTTTGGGGCCTCCGGGGCTTCTTCCTCCTCTGAAGCCTTTTCCTTCTCTCCCTCCATCACCTCTACCGCGCTCGCCTCTGCCCCTTTCTCTCCCTCCATCACTTCTACCGCCACCACGACTTTTAAAGCCGTCGCCACCTTTGTGGCCTCCGAGGCTTCTTCCTCCTCCAAAGTCTCTTCCTTCTCGATCTCCCTCCATCACCTCGGCCGCCTTTAAACCCTCCACCACCACGACCTACAAATCAATCAACCAAATACAAAGGGAAAAAAAAAGGGAAAAAGAAAAGAATAAATTATCTGCAATGGTAATATTACATTGCCTAATTTTTTAAATCTTATTTCATTTATATTAGAGAGGGTATTAATGTCTTTTCATGCAAATAGGGGGGTAATTGCGCCAAATTGATAATATAGGGGGGTTTTATACCACACATGAACTGTTTTGCAATATTGATAGTAGAGGGATTTTTTTTTGGCACTTAACCTAATGATATATTACATTTGGAAAGGACATAATAATTTTCATTTTATAAAATTTGGTCCTAGCACATGCGCAAATCTCATAGTAGATTAAAATAATAAATGCTAAACAATTTACAGGTCCGTAACTTGTCCAAATGTTGAAATCAGTGTAATTTACCTTATAAATAAACCGAGCTTTTCCCTTTTTAGTCAGAAATCTTTAGCCATTTTGGTAACACTCAAAAAGCACATATCGCTGCTAATAAAAATTTCATTGAAATTTTGTGTAATCCTCCTTATTATACTACTTAATTTATTGATAATTTTCTGCCCTATTTATTTATACAAATTCTCTGTATCATACTCAGAATGTGCAACATAAATCACTATTTTTTTTGTTCTTCTTTGTTTTTATCACAATTTATTCGTTAAATTAAGTATTTGTTTTATTATGCATCTGTGGGTATGTGTTAATATGTACGTTTGATTAAACTTAAAAAAAAAAACACAAAAACAAAGCAAAACAAAACCAAAAAAAAAAAAAAATCACTTCATCTCTGCATATACTACACGACTCATTTCACATAATCTTTTTCATATGCAACACATACAATCTAAAACTTCTGTGAGAATTATGTGAACATGAATAGCTAGAATTGGTTCATGAAGGCCAATTTCTATACCAACCAGCCCATGCAGAGACCAACCCACTGATGCCAAGTGTGACAGCATGGTTGCAGAATGGGTTGGGTTCGATATCCGCGACTGCGATAACCAAGTCCGCTACGTTTGCCGCCACTGCCATCAACCTCATCACTCTATCAACTCTGATTTTCTTAATACCCTCCTTTGCGTCCTCTGATTTCTCCATAGAAGTCACAAGCTTTCTCTCTCTCTCTCTCCCCTCCCTAATGACAATAAAATCAGATATAATGAAAAATATGTAGCCAAAAGCCTCACCAAATGCTGATATGAAGCTCATTTTCCTAGCTAGCTTTGCATCCAAGACCCCAATTCTGGACAACCAAAGAAAGTGGTCAAAGAAGAAGTACACCATCTCTCCTGCATTAGCAAGAACAGCTAGGAACCGGAAAGTGGGCGTCGAGCCCGGGTTTCGCCGGACGGCATTGAAGCCGGTGAGAAACCGGCCACTCCGGAAGGCTTTGCGACTAAGGCCCGAGGCAACTTCCCACTGCTTGGCTCTGTGTGCAACGTCGGGGCGCGCGGACTCAGCTTGCCAGTGAACGAGCTTGGAGACATACTGGAAGGTCTTGACAAGCTTGTCAATGCCGTCTCTCTTAGCTAGGAAGATGACCAGCTTGTCCACTGTGTCATTCATGGCTGAGGTTGATGAAGGTTTTTGCTTCTTCTTGTTGATGAAATATTAGATGAAGAAGAGCAGATTGGGAGTGTTGAGTTTGTGTGTCCGTTAGAAAAATGAAGGAGAGCCACAAAATTGTGCTATTTGGATAATACAGTACTGTGATATATGTTTGGTTGGACCTTGTTCTCCTCTATTTTAATACCAACATTTTTTTTACAAAAATTATTTTATCTGCATCCTACATCGAGAAAATAATGTGGATATATATATATATATGTGATGTATGTATGTACGTGTAAATTTGCCTTGTGATGTATAATGAAGCCTGCCTGAGATATATATATATATATATATATATATATATATATATGATGTATGTATGTATGTGTAAATATTGCCTTGTGATGTATAATGAAGCCTGCCTAAATTTTGTTTCATTCATTCTTGTCGCAATTGTTAGATTGTCATTTACAGGAGACTTCTAGTATTTAAATAATTGGCACCATTCATTTTCATTCAGTTATATTTAATCAAATCATGTTGAATAGTATGCATCTTTAATTTTTTCGTGAGAACGAAAGCAAGGATAAATTCCACAATATTGGAATGTGGGCATGAAAGGATGATTAGATGGGTTCAATCTCTGCCTTCTGTTTTCATTATCTTTGAATTGTAAAAAACTACCTAGTCTTTGTTGGGTAACACTGCAATAAAAGTATAAAGCCATGTCTGGATACCAATTCATCAGTTTATTAGATTTTAATGGATATAGCTTTCTGTTTTCAGTATCTTCAAATTTTACTGTACATTGGTAAATTTTGGGGTCTCAAAAGAACATAATCCATGATTTTGATCTTTTAGAATGACTACTATGTTTTTTTGAAGAATAATGGCACAGAGTCTGATTGTCTGACTACTATGTTTTTTAAAGAATAATGGCACAGAGTCTGATTGTCCGACACATTCGGTTAATTATTCCGCTAATTTTATATAAGTAAGGATTGATGTCATCATTATATCAGCGATATTAATGATATTATGATGTTATCAACTCACTCACATAAATTAATTAGATATATCCGATGAAATGTCGAATGTCAAATCATTACTTTTTCAACTATTCCATTTAGGATAATAAATTTATACATTGAAACATACTATTAAAAAAAAATTGTATAGAAACATTCAATGGAACATCCAAACATTTCAAATATTCCATTCGGATAGTGAATTTATACACTGAAGCATACTTAAAAAAAAAAAAAAAAAAAAAATTGTATCGATACATTCAATGGAACATCCAAACATATCATGACTGAGATTAGTCTCAATTTGCGCGCGCACACACACACATATTCTTTTCTTTTCTTTTCTTTTCTTTTTTTCCTTTAGCTTAATTAATTAGCACATAGACTTATAAGATTCCTATCCCACCTTAAATTCCACGAGGACTTTAATTCCATAGTTTTTTTTTTTTTTTTTTTTTCCAGATGGATGAACAAAAGATTCTACCATATATATGAAACAGCCAATGGTCTTGCAAGAGGACATTATTAGAGTTAGATTTAATTGTTGGGATTTATATGCCCTGGCATAGTAAATTTCTATTTGGATTATAGTGACATATGTTCCTGACGTTTTTGAAATATTTATGCTTGATATAATTGGTGAATTCAATGTATTATGTTTCAATTTATTATGGAATTGATAGTGTCCATTTGATTACAAGAGATATTTATATATGTATGTGATGGCGATTAATACATGAATATAAATGGTAATCATAAATTATTCCTAATCTCGGTAATTATGGATGGACTCATAATTAATTAAGACTTGAACTGGATCCGCGTTAGGTTGAATTATATTGCGAGAGCCGTCGTATGCAATTACTCCCTATCACTGTTATGGCATTTGACTTTTAAGCATGAGAAAAATATAAACTCTTTTATTAATTAATAATTACTTTGATTTGTTCGGCGGATACTTCAGGATCCTTAGACCGATACTTTGGGTAGTTATGTAATTAATAGTTAGAGGGTTATATTTTTCAATATTTGCATCATTGCTACTTGTATTTATTTTGTATTGATTATGGTTGATCACAAAGTAAATTCGAAGGCCTTCGTGTGTTTTTAAACAAAATGATTTATTATATATTTATTTATTTAAATTATTATTTTTTCAAACAAATGTTTTATTGTGATCGAGCAAGAGATAATCAATGTTACTAAAATAAATATATTAATTAAGTAATCAGATTGATGGCTTTATTTATCCGATAACTAATTATGCATAGAGGGGTCAAAGTGCAACATTGACTTAGAGGTTATTTATTATTTAATTGGAGTTCAATTAATTTCTTTTAGTGGAGTAGAAATTAATTTATGAATTAATTGAATTGGGTCCATGGACCGGGCCAATTATTAATTCATTGTAGCCAATAAAATAATAAGCCCAAATGATTCTCACTCATAGCCCAACTTGATATTGGAATCCTATTAGATTTGAGACATGTGAATTAGAGATTGAGAAGGAATTATTGTTTCCTTTTCTTTATCTTTATGTTGCCTATGGTCTATGTATATTTTAGGGGTAATTTTTGGTAGAAGGAAAAATGAATATATATTTTCTCTCTCTAGAAAATTAGGGTTAGTATTCTCATCTAATGGAAGCTCTCACAAGCCTAGTTTTCCAAGGTCATTCATGGAGGCTTATGAGTGATTTCTAAAGATAAAACAATTACCAAGAAGATGGAGATCCAAAGAGAAGGCATCTTGTTAAGGAATCTACAATAAGTGAGAACATTCACTTTAGAGGAAAGATTTAAAGGTTTACTCAGACCTTTGATGTAAGTATTCAATCTGGCAATTGAATGATACATCATGTTTTTTTTTTGCATAAAACTTATCTCTATGTGATGAATCAAGATCTGTGAATAAAAATCCCTCGAAAAGGTTTTAAAACTTGCACGTTTCCTAATAGTGGTATCAGAGCATGGTTTGATTCATTACTAGAGATTATATTTTTTTTTATCAAAATTATCATTCATGGATCCAATTTATATATGCATAAATATAAATTTATTGATGTATGATTTAATATGTTGATATATATTAATACATGATCGTGTATGTATAATTGTAAATGAATGATGATGTATGTTTGGGTCATGGATGAAGTTTATAGGTTGATTAAATGTAATTTTATCTTTGGATGAATGTAATTAAGGCTTTGATTTAGCCGTTTGAAAGTTCAATGATGTAATTTATTTTTTCCCATTATATTTCAAATTGTAAATTTATTTAAAGCCATGTAATCTTCATCAAAGGATGCTATGAAACTTCTAAAAGGTCTAAAAGGGTTTAATTAGGCTTCAGGAATTTTCTGGAATTTTTCTAAAATTTTTGGGCTTAATTATAATTTTCTGGAATTTTTCCAGAACTTTTTAAGGCCAAATAATTATTTCTGGCAATTATTAAATGTTTCTGGAATTTCCGGAATTTTCTGGAGGCCGGAGAAAGTGGCGGCTGATTTAGTGTGGCAAGGTCTTCATGCACCCGCACAAAGAGCCGCTGGATGAAGAAGAGGAGGTTGATTGATTCGGTGCGGGCGAGTATAACATGCACTCCATTTGCAACCATCCACACAGCGCGTGTGGAACATGCGCGTACAAGGCCAGCTGCTCCAGGCGCTTGGCAACGCGTGTCACGCGCTGCAGGATGCTCTACTCGGGTGCCAGCGCGTGCACGCACGTGAGAGCACGTGAAGGAACCTGTTCAGCGCGTGCGGGCGAGTGTGTTGAGGGTTTTGGCTTTACATGTGCACTTCAACTTACGGTGGACCTCTAGGCTTGATTTTATAATTATTTTACGCTATTTTTGCTTATTAGAGAGTAAATTATTGCCCCAAAGTAGATTTTATCATTATTCTCCATTATTTAAAAATAGTGGGAGTTTAATTGGGTGCAATAATTATAGCACTTAATAATTATTTAGTTTTTAATGTTAAAAGTTAAATCCATTGGCCATTTCATTTATTTGTTTTTGCCTGTCATTTATTTATTTATGTGATGTATGAAATGCATGGAATAGATAATTGCTAATTATTATTGTTCATGCATTGGATCCATGATTTTTTATCTAAATGGCTTGATTTATATTAATTAAATTCTGAAGATAAATTGGATTTGATTGCTAATTAATTTGAGGGCATTTTTTTAGGAAACGAAAAATTATTTTTGTAAATTATTTTAAAATAATGCCTCAAATTAAATATTAGTAAATCATTTAAAATCCAGATATTTTCTAAATTTAATTGGATTAAAATCAAGGCGTTTTGCATGCATTAAATCATGAATAAATTGAAAACGCTAATTATGAATGATTAAAAATTGAGTGGGAGCGGGGATTTTTATACATTACCCCATGGTCTTCGTTATTAAAATCATTGTAATTAGATTTTCAAAAATAAGGCTCAACGCATGATTTGAAGAGTCATAATATTACAAGAATGGTTGTCTTATGAAAATAAAAATATTAAACGTTCATTTTAATTAGATCTTTAAAAATAAGGCCCTACGCATGATTTAAAGAGTTTAGATTATAATGACAAGATATTTAATGTTTTATATTTCATTAGAGTTTTAATAACGTTATACACTCAATTTAAAATCAATAGTGTTAGCTCCCCAACGGAGTGGTCTATACTAGGTGATTTTAGAAAGGCTAAACGTAATCGGGAATCATTTCATATGATAGACAAGGCATTGTCTTAAGAGATATGGAAATAATGGGATTTGCCCACCAATAGAAATAATGAACTTTGCCAACCGAATAGGTTATTGGCCTATTGGTTATCCGATTTTTCATGTAGTAGTTAAGGGACCTACATATTATTATTTTAATGAAAATGCTCACCTAATAGCAAATGAATCCCAACAATAGTAATAATGAACTCCTCCATCAGGATAAGTTATTGAAAGGGATTGTTTACCAATAATGATAATGATCTCTTATTCTATTTGAGATTTATTATATTATGTGGTTAATAAACTCATTTTAATTTTAAATATGCATGATAGTATTAATAATTCACCTTACATATTGTATGAATGCATTTATATTCAGATTAATTATGTCTAATCCATTTTATTTACTTACTTA